AGAATTACTTATTAAAAAACATTACTATAGGCTTACTAGATAGCATTCTAAAAAGGGACAATATAAAATATATTTTTTTAAATAATTAATTAATTATTTTTCTCAGTACACTTTATATGTGATTTATGTATAATAAAAATAAATCCGGGAACATGAGAGGTGATTTTATAAAATGTAGATTGAATACTATCTATTAAGGTGTTTAATTATCCAATAAAACATCAGATTGTTGTGCATTTCGGATTGGAGTCTGATCATATTTAGCAAGTGTGAATGGCAAAAAATCTGATGAAATAAAGTTTTTACAAATCCGTTTCAAGTAGTTTGAAGTCCGATTTAAAGGTTTCTGCTCAGATCAGATTTCGCAGTTGTTTCATGTCACTTTCTCATGCCATGTAAACTTTACACATGTTGTTGTAGCAAACATGCTCAGTCTTTGCAGAAACAAGGCTTTCTTGTTGCAAAGTACAGGTTGATCTTGTCTGTGGTCCAGTGATGAGGTGTGTTTTCTTTACTATTTTAAAAGGTGGAAACAACTGCATGGAATAAAGCCGCATATAATAACCAACTGGTTTCGGCCTCATTAGACCTATAACCATCGCGGTAGAATTAATGTTGTAAGACAATATCTTAATTGCAGACCCCTCTTCAAAGTGGCTGTTGTTTGGTCTAACACAATGCCATTGCCATAGAAACCAATGCAGATATTCCAGAAAATGAAAAAGCACCGCAGGACAAACATAACAGATCTGAACAGTTGCTATTAAACAATGTGGAAGGTCAATCATTTAGATCAGATTCCAGTTGGATTCAAAATTAATTGCATTTGGAGCAACAGTGTGAACGTTACTTCCTGATCTCGAATCAGATGTATACGTTTTATGACATTTTAATGACACATTTGTGTAATAATGAACAAGATAATTAATTGTCTCTTACTGGCTTAGTAAACTATGTCCCCCATAAACACACCAAACCCCACAAATAAATGAAATAAAATACTATACAGAAAAATAATATTTAATAGTATTTTATGCAGATCGCATTTAATAGATTAAACATTCAAGAAAATATTTGCATTTGTTTTGTAATAGGTGTGTGCTTATTTAAAGTGAGTTTTCATTGCATTTACACCATTTTGACCAGCAGGCGTCACGATATGGTGTTAGTTAGGCTAATAAATAAATAGACCAATTTCAGTGTTTGCAAACAGTGATGAAGTTTTTGTTGGTGGAGCCTATCTGGTGGCAGAAAAAGGCAGTTTGGAATAGCCATGGCCATGGAATAAAAGAATAAAAAAAGTTATTTTGAGTTTATATTTCTAAATTCTGACTTTTTTCTTTAAATTCTGAGATTATATCTCACAATTCTGGTAAGAAAAATCAACTCGTCATTCTCTCTTTTCCCCTCGGCTCAGAATCATGAGTTTATAATCCCACACTTCTGGCTGTTGAGTTGAATCAAGTTATAAAGTTCGAACTAGATAAACTTGCATTTGCTTCAATTTGCTCATGGGCTTCAATACAGTTGTTCTCTTATTCCATGAATTTTACCCGTTTCCCTCCACTTGTTCCCAGTGTCTTTCTGCCACCACAATGCGCACATAGCAGCAAGTGACGTAACTGTGATGTCTACTCCAAATTGGTCTACAAATAAATAATTTAGAAGCAACTGGTTCAGTTGATTCAAAGTTTCAAAAAGCTCTCTTAGTGGTCATTGTATTTTGTAGAAATGACTCTAAATCTTGGTTATAGGAGTGTTAGATAAACATGGATACACCATGCAGAAAGAAGTTGGACGAGGGGGTTCAGGAAGAGTGTTTCTGGTGACCAACTCAGATGGAGATCATTATGTGGTAAAACAGATGAATTCAAGAGATGTAAGTACAATTAAGCATATACTAAATCAAGAATTTACTTAAGCATTGACCATATTAATTACATCTTTTTTTTCTATTAAAAAGCTATTAAAGTTGCCATTTTTCAGTTGCTATAAGAAAGTCACTTTTAAATGGAAGTTCTTCTTTTGCTAAAAAACAACAACAACTACAATTGTTCCCCTCAGAGGAAGGAGCTGGACAAAGTCCAACAGGAAGTCACGATCTTGAAGAAAATAAACTGTGGATATATTGTTTCTTATGTGGAATCATTTGAAGGTGTGTTCATTTAAATATTAGAACAGAGGAAAATAATGTACCTTTATTACAAAGTTAAAGTGTTTACTTTCTCCCAAAATTAAATTAAACAGAACAAAATGAACACAGATGGTTTAGAGATTAAAGTAGAACAAAATTAACAAAACCAAAATCATCTAGTTGTTGGCTGTGAAATGAAGGTATTACACTAATAAATACATTTATTATTAGTTGAATTAATGTTTGACTGGATATTTCCTTATTTAGATAAAGACGCTGAATTATTTTATATTGTGACGGAGCATTGTGCAGGAGGAGATCTTTATGAGAGGATGAAAGCACAGAAAGAGAGAGGGTTTTTTGAAGAACAACAGGTGAGTGTCTTATGTAGACATACATACTCTTGGCAAATGCACATTCATTCATTTTATTTAATTGGCATTAAAAACTAAATACTGCCAGGATTTACTAAAGATTAAAGAGAAAAATTAGTAATGAGACAGCAGGGACAGAGTTATTTTGGGGCTGATTTTATTACATATTGTCAGTTCTGTGTCTTGTGTTTTGCTCCCCATGTGCTCCCCATGACCCAGTTTCTCCCGTGTTTAGATTGTTCATTGATTTCAGGTGTGTATTCAGTTAGCCAATTAGTTCCTTGTTATTTTAGCACTGTGTTTCATCCTGTCTTAAAACGTTTATTTCCGTGTGCTACATGTGTGTTCCCTGGTGTCAATAAAGTCTATGTTTGTTCTGGATTCCCTCCGTCTCTGCGCTCCTTCGTCTCCTTGTTCCTACACAATAGGCACCCCATGACAGAAGACAGAGGCAGACAGAAGAGATCTTCCCTTCATGGAGTATGCCCGGGAATTCCCGGGAATTAGACGATGCCACTCTGAATTCCTTGTTCTGGATCGGGGCCAATTACCATCGCCCCGTGGACCTCCCAGACACCACTGGACTGAGCTGGAGGAAGGGGATCCTCCGGTGTCTGGAGAGCGTCCGGCCCCGATCCAGAACCGCTCCGTCGTTAACCCCGCCGGCCGCTCGGAAGTCAAGCCCGGCTGCTGCACTCTCAAGCCTGCCGGCCGTTCAATTGTCAAGCCCGCTGGCCAATTCCCTTCCAAGCCCTCAGCTAACAGCAGCCCGCTCCTTAACTCCAAACCAGAGAATGAGTAGGCAGAGAAAAAGACTGTTAGTTCGAGCCCATGAGTCCACTCCAGTATCAGCTACAGCCCCTGAGTCCGCTCCAGTGTTGGCTCCAGCCCCAGAGTCTGCTCCAGTATCGGCTCCAGCCCCTGAGTCCACTCCTGAAAGGGCTCCAGTTCCCACGTACATCCCAAGGAGGGCTCCTGTTCCCACGTCCAGCCCACAGAGGGCTCCTGTTCCCATGTCAAGTCCAGGGAGGGCCACAGTTCCCGAGTCAGGCCCACGGAGGGCCTCAGGGGCCGATATTTTCCCCAATAATTTTTTTGGGGGGTAATAGGGATCCGGCCGTAGTGCCAAGGCCAGGCCCCCTTAGTTCCCTGCTCCACCATGGCTCCCTAGTATGCCTGAACCGCCATGGGTCCCGGAACGGGTACTGCTCTGGAGGCCTGCTGTCCCATGTAAGCCTGTCCTGAGGGGCCTCCACAGCGCCCACCCACCCTCCCCATTGGATGTTGTGTGGCGCGTGGACGTACCTTCGGGGAGGGTGGAGTAATGTCAGTTCTGTGTCTTGTGTTTTGCTCCACATATTTCTATTACACACAGTCTATTTCTGTGTGTGTTCCCTGGTGTCAATAAAGTCTATATTTGTTCTGGATTCCCTCCATCTCCGCGCTCCTTCGTCTCCTCGCTCCTACACAGTAGGCACCCCGTGACACACATGTATTTGAATTAGGTTTTTTTTTTCAGATGCAAAATTTATGGGCAAAGAGTATTTAAATGAAATGCAAAGTGCAAGGTGATTTACTAATGTTTGCGGTAGTCAGTTAACTGGTATTTGCACCATTATTTAATGCTAAAAATGCTTAACCCAAGTTCAGCTTGCTCAGTCGGCCTGGTTCTGGTTCTCAAAATCTCATCATTGCATTCTCATGGTTGAGACACGTAGATAACTAGTGCAAATATTAGTCAACCTTTAGTGAATTGTATATAATCATTGAACTCAACAATTTTGAGTTTAACATTCTATTAGTTGTCAAAATAAACGAATAGCACATATTCTGCATGACCATATTCTACATCCCTAATCCTACCCAATACCTAAACTTAACAACTACCTTACTTACTATTAATAAGCAGCAAATTAGGAATGTATTGAGGGAAAAGTCGTAGTTAATAGTGCATAACTGTTCCCAAAAAAAGTTCTCTATTGAAGTGACGACAGCTCTAGCCATTGTAATGGGAGCTCTCTTTACTTGCGTTCTGTTTATAACACATTGACAGTTTGAATAAAAAAACATGTTTTTCATGCTGCTAAGAGGAAAGTCGGCCACTTACACACTGCAAGGCTTCAAGAGTGTCAACTGCTTTTAAATGATGCAAAAATAATGTTAGACTATTTATTTTTTTAACTTACACTCACGGTCTCACCCACTACGGAGCCCCCAAAGGGACATGGTGGAGTAAAATATTTGGGATGGGGACGAAAAAAATTTCAGAGCTTTTGCATTCTCTCACAAAACTTGTGCGTTCCCCAGAGAAATGTTGCGTTATTTGTTGACACCTAGTTGACAAACAAAAGTAGTGCAAAACAATTAAAAGCACATGTGCTAGTTGCCCGCACACTGTTCTCTCCAGTTAGAAAAATCGTACACTATGCCTTTCATATTTTGTATCATATTTTGTGAATGTAACAAAGAAAATGTGCATTTGTGGATCAGATGATGCACATGCATTCATTGACGTCTTTTATGAGACAATCTCATCAGCGGGTGATCAGTCAACTACTCAACGGCGTATCAAAGAGGCTCGCTGATGCCTCGCCGACGCCAAACGAATAGGCTCATTTGAGATGCGGCTAGCCTCGACTGAAATTTAGGCAAGAGTAGGTGGCTGCAGTGAGGGTAGGAGTGAAATAAGCACAGTCAAGACGGACAGTTCTGAACTCTAGAAGTAGAACAGACACCTACGAAATCAAAGGCGGATATCGCGTTATTCACTCTCATGCACTGTGTATTCATGCATAATTTAAATTAAAGAGATTTTTGGCATATGTCGGCATGGCATCAGAGCAGGGCGGACTGCCCTCGGACACATTTCTAACTGGCATGCATCGTCTGGTGATCACTGGTGATCGGTGCAGATTTTGCTCTCAACAGATTTTGCTCTTTTGATCTCAAACGAGCCTATTATCTAGCATGCTAAATATCTGGATTCTGGACCGGTCAGCCGACTCGACATCACCTGGTCAAGTCAAGTCAAGTCACCTTTATTAATATAGCACTTTTAACAATACAGATTGTGTCAAAGCAGTTTTACAGTATTAAGGTGTTGTGACGACCTACAGCCAATGAGAGAGCAAGGCATGGGTTGAGGTCAGAGGAAGAAAAACCGCAGCAGCAACATGGCTTTAAGAAAAGTTTGGAGCGATTTTGTTTTTCAGAACAGATCATTGCGCAAACAGCTTGCAACATTAATTCCTGACATTTTCAAATAAACAACTCCCGTTTCACTTTTTGTTTCATGTCATTCCCATTCAAATTCTCGCGTGTGTTTTTGTGACAAAACGTGGTTTGAGGTCTGTGTAGAGTCGTAGTGTGCGACCCCCTGTTGCGGATCATTTACATAGTGTCACGTAGTGTGAACACCACAACGACTTCAAGACAGGCAGCAAGTCATGTAGTCTGAACAGCACAGCGATCTGCCGACATTTAAAGTTATGTAGTCTGAACTAGGCTTATGTGCACTGTGGTTCAGGTGACACGCGTGCATTCATTGAGTCATTTCTGAGTCAATCCTATTTGATTCATTTGGATTTTGAGACTTTCGTTTCACTGTTTTAGCCTTGCACAATCCACACACAAATAGCTTGAGAGCCACACACAGCTGTCTAAGAAAACCTGCTACCACTAAATGACAGTAGCCTGTTAAAAACTGACAACAGCACAGTAATCAAGAGTTAGCTTAATGTGGCTTATGTATTATTTTGAAGGACCAAATTCAGTACACACCTTTTAATAAAGCATAGCCTACCTTGTACAGCAGAAAAATATAAAGCCTTTCACAAGCCAACCTTGTGAGAGTAAAGCTGCATCTTTTTAGGAGTATAAAGTGATGCTTTCATCTTTCTCCATGTGTATCATATGTGTGCAGATTCTTGACTGGTGTGTTCAGATTTGTCTGGCGCTGCAGTATATTCATGATGAGAGGAGGAATGTTCTTCACAGAGACATCAAACCTCAGGTAGACACTGATAAAGCTCATTAGGGCTGTGCAAAAAAAACGAATGTGATTTTCATGCGCATCTCGTCAGTAAAGCCGGTCCTGTGATTAGTAGTAAATCTTCAGCACGTGCTTTCAGATGGAGCGGCATTTACTACACAGAGCCATAGATCGCCGCTGCATCTGAAAGCACGTGCTGGAGATTTACTACTAATCACAGAACCGGCTTTACTGACGAGATGCGCATGAAAATCGCATTCGATTTTTTGCACAGCCCTAAAGTTCATTAAAGCATTTGTCACCAAATCAACTTTGTGTATTTGATGATATTTCTGTTGTCATTATAGAATATGTTTCTGACTGAAGATGGCTACATCAATCTAGGGGATTTTGGATACTCAAAAGTGCAGAAAAGGTAAAAAAACAAAAAAAAACTAATTGTTAGACATTAAACAGACATTGACATTCTTGGACATTACAAATGTGGACACACTGGACTAAAAATACATTGAAAAATCTAATTTAATTGTGTTTGTAATAACCAATTGTAATTATTAGATTTCATAAAGTATGCATGTGATAATTATATATATGTAATATAGCTGCAAGTAGCAATTAAGGGGCCAAGCACAACGGAGGCAAAGGAAGAAGCTAAGCATGGCAGGGAACATCAGATTAACTGTAGCAATGAGTAATTAAACACATTTTAAGATGATTTTATTCAAAAAGGCTGAAAATCATAAATACAATAACTAGTAACATGATTTAATGTTATATCACTTTATGATAGTGATAGTAATATACCATTGATATGATATTCCTCAGGTGGTAAATCAAAACCGCTTTGTCTATCGTCACAAAATCCATAACTTTTTGCCAGCATGGTCTGAAAATGGTTTGAATCAAATTTGGTGAAAATCAGACCAATGGTCTAGGAGGAGTTCAAAAAATTAGGTTTTATAAAGAAAACCAAAATGGTGGACAGGAAGTTCAGCCAATTACTGCATAATTGGCATTGATGTTCTCTGCATGATCCAAGGAATCGTCTCAGGTTACGCAGTGTCTCGTTCCCTACTCAGGGAACCATGGTTACATAAGTAACCTGAGACGTTCCCTTTCATGGGAACTTTGAACTGCGTCCTCTAGGGGTCACTATGGGGAACGGTATACCCACGCCACCATGCTGAGGGGAGTGCAAGCCGGAACCATGGCGAGCACTAAGTACCAACTCTACCATATTGCTATGGGAGTCGCCCCTGGGACGTTAGATGGCTGTCAGTGACGTTATTCCCTACGGCCAAAGGCCTAGGCTACATACCCCAAAATACTTACCTGTTAGGGCCAGACTCACACGAGTTGGTTTTTTTTCAATGTATGCTTCAGACACGGGTCACGACGAGGCGCTCCCCATACCGACCCCTAGAGGACGCAGTTCGAAGTTCCCATGAAAGGGAACTACCAATACCAGTCACTTTAAAATATAGCATGTTACAGCAAAATTCAAAATGACTGACGCCCAAAACAGCAGACATGGAAACAATTGGAATTTCGTTTGACTTAGAATGTTGCACCAAATCTAAAGAGACCAGTCTTGTAATTTTTGGCCAAGCCGTTCATATGTTATGTATATGTAAAATATATGTATTTCATATCTCATGACCAGTAGATATCCTTAGGTCATGTCTTTTTGTGCCACACAACAAGTTTGGTTTAAATATGTTAAAGCATTGTGGAGATATAGCCTCACGTCCATTTTGGTGTGCGTGCTCTTCATCAAATTCCTTTGCGTGTTTTTCAAGAATGGTTTGACTAATTAACTTGAATTCCATAACTCTTTTCCAGCATAGTCTGAAGATGATCTGAGCCAATTCTGGTGAAAATCAGGCAAACTGTCTAGGATGAATTTGTAATTTTGTTATGCTTTTGATTCGTCATGAGCCATGTAATCAAAAATTGCTTTTATATAATTTACCTTCAAAAGTGTTTAGCATACACATGAATAAAATGTTGAGCTTTTGGTGGTGCTAGATGGTTTGAGTTAGAGACTCCAAATGTTAATGTTGAAACTATCTTCTATTTTCATGCCAAATTGTATAGTTTTCCCACAAGCAGTTCTATGGGCTCCCATAGACTCAAGAGTAGAAGAAGAAGAAGAAGAAGAAGAAGAAGAAAACGAATGGATACAAGAAGTGCATTTGCACCTGTGGTGTTTGGCCCCTAATAAGTGACTGCCTTTCAAATTATTTGCGAAGTATTTCTGCCTTTTTCTCTTCCAGCTGGTGTTTCAGTTCATCTCTAATAAGATCTTTTTGAAGTTTTATCAGTTTGAGTTTACATTGATTTTTCTATTTCAGAGCAGATCCTTATACAAGCTCAGTTAGAGGTGCAGAGTTCTATCACAGCCCAGAAGTTGATCAAAACAAATATACTTCCAAAAGGTATGATTTTTGAAAGTTTAAATATTGAAATTTATTGCAAACTCTTTACATGAAATGCTGACTACTTTAGCTGTTTAAACAATGCACTTAAATGTAGCCCTCGTGTAATGTGTTTTATTATTATTATTATATTTTTTTTGTAGTGATATCTGTTCACTGGGGTGGGTGCTCTATGATCTCTGCATGCTGGATGTGTGGGTGAGTGCACTCTATTAAACAATGAAAATTACAAAAATATTACTGATGGGTTCATTTCAATTAGCTTAATTCTTGGTTTGTAAATTATAATTTTTTTTTTTTTTTTCAAATCTTAATGCTTGACAAAGTGTTTGGTAGATTGATGGTAGATGCATAACAAAACCCTTTCAACTGCTGTTTGTTTTACCTTCACACAGATCCAGTGTAGGTAAAATTAAATGAAATTATCCAAAATTAAATTTAAATTGCGATAAAATTCATATTGCTTAATGCCATATTCACATTGCACAGCAGCACTGCATCTTTGACGGAAACAAACGTGTGCTTTGGAATATTATTAAATTCTTTTTTTTATTGTTTGTTAATAATATTTTATAATATTCAATTATACAACAGCATACAATAATAACATGAAATACAATATCAAACATGTCCCGCTGTCCCAAATGCCAAAAAAAACACAATGGAAAATGTGACTTGACTGATAGGAATATCATTAAACAATACAAATAGTTGAGAAAAAAAAAAAAAGGTAAAAATTGTATATAGCACCTTCAAGTTGTTTTATGATCTTGGATCTCAGGTTTAAACAGATTTTCCTTATATTGTTTTTTTCTTTATTTTCCTTCACAGTCAGATATTAAAAATCGTCGCTTTCAAAAAGCCTCCCACGATATAGGACACCCCCTTCACTTCTCAGATATGTATTCACAGGATCTACAGGATTTAATCAAAGAAATGCTCAGCTGTTGCCCTATGACCAGACCTTCAGCTGATGAGATTTTAGCAAAACCATTCCTAAAAGATGCTCTAAACAGAAACAGGAGAATTCCAGAAGCACTGGAACGAAGGTTCATGATGTCCTTAAGGATCTTTGATGAGAACTACAATGAGCACTACGATCATTTTGAGGCCTTAGTTACAGAGTGGGGAGAAACAACAGCTTCACTAGAGGAGGTTCATCATAAATGCACAGCAGGCACTCTGGCAGGTTCAGTGATTGGAGCAGCAGGAGGAATCACTGCAGTGGTTGGTGCGATTTTGGCTCCTTTCACTTTTGGAGCATCTCTGATTGTTACAGGTGTTGGGATTGGAGTTGGTGTTGCAGGTGGTGTAACAGGTGCTGCGTCCAGTGTTACCAATACATTCAAACAAAGATCACTCCGTGAGAATATTCAAAGAATTCAGCAGAACTTTACAGATGTGGCACCACTTTTTGAGTCACTGAATGCACTGAGAAGTGTACTGAGAGTTATCCAAAAATTCAGGGATTTTGTCAGTGACTCCTCTGACAACGTGCAAATGCCATGCAATGTAGACAGAAGACGACTAGTGTGTGGCGCAGAACTCCTGAATATCGGTCTGCTGGCAAATGTTGGCAGAATTGCTGCTCAAACCGCCAGAGTAGGACGCGCTGCAGCAGAGGCAGTAGCCGCAGTCACAGGAGTGTTGAGTGGAATCCTAGTCATTGTTGACACCGCATTCATAGTGATGGATTCTATAGACATTCACCAGATGAGACAGGGACAAGTAGATGATCCAGACAAGGTCAAGTCAAGTTTACTCAAGTCCATTGCTCAGATGAGGAAAACACATACAGCTCTTTGCAATGTCTTAAAGGAAATTAAAGAAACAAGAGAGGAACTAAAAGACTATATAGAAGTTGCCAGGGCTGAAAGAGATTTATAGAGAGATTTTGAGAGTTTAAACATATAAATACGATAACAGTCAGAGACTCATGCAACATCTTAGATTTGTCTGTGAGCTTGAGTGAAAATGGTTTAAATGTCAAACAACAGAAGATGTGTGACGTATGAGGTCAGATTTTTGCAATCATTCTATATTGGAAATATCAGCTAATAATTAATAAATATACAAAGATGGTGCACTCTGGCTGAATAATCCCACCTTCTAAATAAAAGAGCCGATCAGTAATTGGTGAAGTTATTGCATCACTGCAGCTGAGAGTGCAAAGAGGTGTTTCAAAGATGGCCACTGAGTGAAATGACTTGCCTTAAAAGGGACTTTGCTATATATCTATTATACATAAGACATACATAAGGTCTCATTCATTAGTAATTGTGTGGATTTTTCCAATGTATACGCACAGGAGAACTGTACAAAAAAAAAGAAAAGAAAAGTAAATGCGTACATACATGGATTTATTTTTCTTAATTTCATTTGAATGTTAATTAATTTTGAGTATTGAATGAGTGAGCATATTCCAGAGGTTAGTAATTTACATAAAACACATCCAAACCATCTCCATAATATATAACTACATTTTTTTTAAAGCTCTCTAAATATGTTAATGTTTATAAGAATTGTTTTTTTTAATTGATGAATCATGATTTGTTTGTGAAAACCTTTGTACTCAGATTTCACACACAACTAATACAGAGTTGCAGGTTTGTTTATGGATAGTTTTTTATGGATAACTGTTAGAAAATTCATTTTTGGTGTGCTTTTTTATTTATGGGTAAACAAATAGTTAAACCTTAATCTGAAGTATTCCAAATTAATACTGTACTCTCATTTTTTATATAAACTGGAGATGCAATTTTCATCTTACTTCAGATTACTGTCAAACTAGTATACTTTTGAAAATAGTTGTTATTGTATTACTTTACTGTATTCTTAATTGTTCTTGCATAATCATGTCACAATGAGCATCATTTATAAATGATTTGATATATTTTGTTTGTTTGTATTTAAGTTGATCAAAGTTTTCATGTAAAATATGTCTTTAATAAACATGAAGCAGATTAAAAAATTAGTTGTATATTCTTACAAATGCATGAACTGATTAATAATAATAATAATAATAAAATCAAGTAGCTGAAGGGTTACATTGAAAACCGTTGTCAGAAAGTGCCTGGTGATGATCCTAGATGTACCAAATTTCACAACTTTTTCACAATCCTTGGTGTTTGGCCTTTAATAAAGACAAGCAACAGGAACAACTGCTGTGTTTATGAGATTTTATTATATAACTGTACTTTAATAATACTTTTTATTTTTTATAAACTGTTTCTCTTGGTGTGTGTGTGTGTGTGTGTGTGTGTGTGTGTGTACTGGTATATATGGTTTATGAGGACACAAATGTGTATAATGACATGGGTACTACAACGTAAACATGGTTTATGAGGATACTTCCTGTGTCCCTGTAAAACAAAAGGCTTAAAATACATACAAAACGGTGTTTTATGAAATTCAAGTAGTTTTCTGTAAGGGGTAGGTTTAGGTGTAGGGCGACAGAAATAGTATAGTGTTTTAAAATAGGATCCTATTTAGCAGTTCACACCCTACTGGGAAACATTTGCATGAACGATCACAGCAAGCATATACAGGCAAAATATCCATAACTTTCAATTCTTTATCACAATTTAGACAGCATCTGTGAGGATGATCCCAAACATAAATGTGAAAATCATTTCACTGTAAACATACATTTGTATATGTTTTATCTAGCTGAAGAAATGCTTGTGTGTTAATTCATTGTGTGTGTTGCTGTTTCCTGTGAGTTCAAAGTTCACGAGTCTGAATAAGTTGGATGACTCCATTCAAGTCCTTGCAATGGTAACAAACATGTTACTGGTACTTGTGCATTTTTAAAATGTTTTAAATATAAATCCTGAAAAGGTCAAATATCAAAGATGGGTTTTCTCCTTTAGTGCTTACTGTAACTCAGGTGGATTTCTTTGACTAAAGATTGACTCCCACTGCATGTATGAATTTAGGGCTTACATAATTGAATAATATAAAAAACAATATGATATCTGACATTGTAATCTGCGTTTTCCTAAGTTGATTTATATTTAAGTCACTAGGCCTATGGCCAAGCTAGCAGACAACCTTTAGTCTTTAAATCTGCCTAGATACAAATGACCACTCTGTGAATTTCCATTGGTTAAAAAAATAACAACAACGAGCTCCTGGTAAAACAGAAAGTGGAAGTCAGTCTCAGTTCTTGTATGGAATCATTTTCTTTAATCAACAGCGTATTTAAAACCAGCAGTTGTTGATTTTATTATAATGCAATTTATTTTAATGTTTCCAAAAACAGTGTAAGAGCTTTTCAGATCATCTTTTGTTCTCACCTTGACCATCTTTTTAAGTGCATAGATTTAAGGGCTTTTTGCCAGAGACAAATTCAATCTGACCACATCAAACCTCTGACCAATGACAAATGCCATGTATACTTTTGCTGTTTGTTGTGCCATATGCTCTTTTGAAATCACAGGATTCCTGCTGCATAAGTTCACATCCTGTGTCCTGCCTCAGAAAGAGGGACAAGCGGATTCTATGCATAAGTTCACATCCCGTGTCCTGCCTCAGAAAGAGGGACAAGCGGATTCTACCATGTTCAGTGCCTGTTATTGTGGAGGTGTGAAGTATTCAATGGGTGTTTTGCATATTTATGAAGGGTGCAACACCATTCGATGAAGATCTCTCACACAGGGCTGAAAGGAGAACAAAGACTGACCAGCTGCAACTGCAACAAGTCTGGACCAGAAGACTGAAGATGACATCTGCACACAACAGAAAGCATGTTTCTATGGACTATGTCACCTTTTGCCTCTTTTGGTGTGGCCAACGGTGCCAAGGGGGGACTTTGTAAGGCCAAAAATTATCAAAGACTTCTGCTTTCCTGTCCCAAACCTATCTTCAGTAACAAAAGGGCCATTTGGCGTTCCTGAAGGCACAGAAGTGCTGATATCGATCAAGGCCTGTAGGCCAACATGTGTATACATCGGGGGTCTTCTAATTGTCACACCTTTTGCCCAGTGGGTGAAGTTGTAATCTGCTGATTGGTCAGTTTGAATGTCTCACATTTGGTTTTTAGTCACATGGTCAAGGAATGGATAAAAGAGGATTGCAACTGTTGCTCTTTCTCTTTTCTTTGCTGCCTCTTTTCTTTGTTGGAGCTCTTCTTGGGTCTCTGCCCTCTCTCCCTCTTTTTCTTCCTCACTCTATTCCCCCCTCTCTCTATCTCTTTCTCTCGGGTAATATTTTACATGTTGGGTACAATTAACTATGCTTTACCATCCTTCATCTATTTTGTAACCAATTCAAGTGTAACCATAACAAAATATTGTTATTAAACCATTTCAATTATTAATTATGTGCTAACTAGTCTTGATTCAAGGTTAAT